AGCCTTTCTGACTCTGGTTTTGACACCTTCATCTGTGCCGTCTGCCTGTAATTGAAACGATGCTTCCTAGGTATAAGTGAAGGAAGTAACTTCTGACGAATGTCTCTCGTTGCTGGTGATTGGTGCTGGTTGTTGTTGTTGTTCTTTGGTTATCCGATTCACCTTCGTCTTCTATATGTTCACCTATAGTCCTGTTTTCGCTGCCAACCTCTTCAGCCAGTTTGTTGATTTTCGCATGCAAGTCTTCTAGTTTGTGAGACATTAGACATAAATTATTCGCCTCGAAATCCAGATCTTCTAGAGTCTTCTTATCGGTCAGTCCAACGTATTCCGATCCTGTCTCTTCTCACTCCCTGTACACAGACTGACGCATAATCCGGTCCATCACATTTAAGAATATCATCGGTGACAGGAGGCTGGCAGCTTTGTCTTATTCTTGTTTTCACTTTGAACGCTCCTCTGAGTTTTTCATTGTGGATCGATCACCTGACACGTGGTATCGTCATATATCTGTTGAATAAGGTAGATAAAGATTTGGAGTACTACACGCCGTAGTGTTGAATTAGTTTCCAAATCACTTGGCAGTCAACGCTGTCTGGTGAGAGCTTTTTTGAAGTCAGTGAAGTTGAGGTAGAGGTTTGACTGCTATTATATGCTTTGTTCCATGATGATCTGTAGAGCTGCAACTTAATCAGCACATGTTTTGCCTATCCTGAATCCAGCTTGTTCTGCCTGGCAAAGTTCTGTATCCAGTGCATCCTTTATTCTCTCCAGGATGATGCCACTCAGTATTTTATTTGGCGTGAACAACAACACTTCTCCACGCTAGTTCTTCCAGTCTCTAGGTGCCTTTCCTTCCTTTCCAACATTTCCCAGTGGTGGCGTGATCATATCTACTGCCATCTCTGGGTCCATTTTCAATACTTCAGGGGAAATTTCCTCTAGTCCTGCCGCCTTCCCGGATGGCTTTCAGTAGTTTCATTGCATTTAAGATTGGTGCTTTTGTTGGAGGATCGGTGTTCACTGGCAGGCAGTTCTCTACGTGTTGTTGGCGGTATTTCTGGACGTTTTGCAGATGAGATAGTCGACTAAAGAGTCCTTTGAAATGATCAGATAATTAAGTTCCCTTGACCATCTTTTATTGGTTGCATCATCAGGGTTGATCTCTTCCTGAATAGCGAGCGACCTGGTTATCTGATATATTGTCCTGAGGTTTGTTTTGTTAATTATTCGTTTATTATTACTAGAATCATTCACCCATTGTGAGTGTAGTAGTTCACAACGTCATTTGGTGGTGGTAGTGGCGGTGCTGGTAGGCCGTTCACTTCCGTTGATATGCAAGGTGTGAGAATAAAAATAATCTCACAGCGTTCTCACGCATAAAATAGTTATCGCCACAACAGATATTCTAGTTGTGCAAAAATAAAATTGGTAAAAACACGATATACTACTGATTGCTTGAAGTGAGTAGTTGTATACTACTCATCATAGCAACCAGTAGTAGTGCTTACTGGTCAGTCAGATCGAAGTGATCTAAACACGGGATAGTTGTTGTTGAGTTCAAACCATGAAATTTCTGGCTATCTACTTGGTGCTTGGACTGGTAGTCCCACAAATCAATTTGGATGAGCTTGTTCCGAAATGAGAGCGAAACGGCCATCTGTTGGTTAGATCCCTTCGATATGGCTGTTTAATGTGATGGTTGGTATGAAACTACTCATCCCAATCTATCAGTAGTATATAGTTTCACGTTAATATGCTTGTTTTCTTGATTACCACTCTCATGGTATCTAGCAGATCACATAGATTGTATGCAATCTGCATAATTTTGGTCTCCAAAGGAAACAAACTATGGGGAAATTTCTCCCATCTTGAATTTTGTGTAAATTGTAAATCTAGCCGTCGGCTTCCTCGACTGGCTATGTTTGTTGGTATAAGCTGGCTCAGGTTGGAAAAGAGCTGGCCAGTGGTGGTTTAACCAAATTGTTTTCCACATAGAACTTTGTACCGATGTGCAGCAGTTCAAGTCGCCACACTCTACTCCTTGTAGCACACAAAACAAGAGAATAAAGTAGAAGAAATGTATAATAGATACATAGGGATATGAGAAAAGAGGAATAGTAATAACGAAGAACAATATAGTTTCATTGGAAATTATTAGTCACAAGGAGTGGATGCATCTGCGCCAGCCATTGACAGCGGTGATTTTGAGCCATATCACCGATTGTCTCTAGCCTTCATTGGTTTTTACCGTTCCGAGGACCCCAACGAGTCAGGAGGTCTACACCTCCTTATGTGGTTAGCTTAAACTAACTGTTGTGGATTTCATTGACTGATGAAGCCATGTTTTGGTTTGACCACCACTAGCCTTCTCTTTTCCAATCTGACCCTATGTCCGCTAATATTGCCCGTCGAGGAAGGCGATGGCTGACCAAACGTAACACATGTCCTAAACATCCCAATCGATATAACTTCACAACCTCGTTGATTGATCTCCCCTTCCTACCTAGCACTCGACCAATGCCTAACCTCAATATTGCTCGCACTATTGTCACATAGACACCTATGATCAAAGACAGCTAGCCGGCTTTTCATGTCTTCCACTTTCAATGGCTATGTCTCACTTGCAGCCATAAAGGAGGACGGAGCGGACTGTTGAGTAGTACATATATCATTTGGTCGATAGCCGGATATCACGTCTGGCATATGCAAAACTAGCCTTCTGTATCCGTTCTGAGATTTTGTCAACGATCAACTTGTTTGCGCTGGCTGATGCAACTTCTCAAATAAGTGAAAGTGTTCAACGTGCTCTACCACTTCACTCCCTATTTCTCAGCTAGGAATCAATTTAGTGCAATTCTGTAACATCATATTACATTTGACTAAGGGAGCGAATCGCATGCCAAATCAAAACATGGCTTCATCAGTCAATGAAATCCATAACAGTTAGTTTAAGCCAGTTAGCCAGCCACGTAGAGAGGGAGGTGTAGACTGCCAGTCTGGTTGGAGTCCTCTGAATGGTAAAAACCAATCAAGGATGGAGACTTTTGGTGATATAGCTGAATATCGTCCTCAATGAATAATGCAGATGTATTCACTCTTTGTGATATGTCATATTCAATGAAACTCTATTGTTCTTCCGTGTTATTATTCTTTTTTTTGCCTCACACATCTGTGTTGGATCTCTCTCTTTTGAATCTCTCTTTACTCTCTTTTTTTACTGTGCGAAGTTCTACGTTGAAAGCAGTTAGTCAGTCAGTCAGTCAGTAAATTGCAAATTGTTAAATTGATATTTATCTACAAAAAACACCTTTCCAACTGTTAAAAACATGACTTCTGATATGCTGATTGATATAAAGCATTCCTCTCAGCACGTAGTACAAATACAACTGCCTGAGAAAATTCAATTTTGTAATTTTGATCGCCTCATTCATGTTGGTGGTAAGGAAAGTGGCGGGAAATGTGTTACGATACAACTTTTGTATATATACTTACTCGTTGTGTGTGTGTGTATGTGTGTATGTGATACCTAATATAGTAAACTTGACTATGTGCGGGGTGGGGGCAGGCGGAGAGTGGAGAAACAAAGTATGCTGTTCGTCAAAATTGTACATATTTAATAGTGTGTCACTAATTGATTAATTTTCTATAGTTTGTTTTGTAAGGGTTAGTTTCGTTCTTGATGAGTTGATCACGGATTGATATCAGTTAGAGAAGCATTGAAAACCAGCAGTGGAGTGGAGTGCTGGACAGCTATTTCATCCTGGTGGGTGCATACTGCCAATGATTTCCAAAACTAGGCAGATTAAACAGCTGTCCAGTACTCCAGTGCTGGTTTTCACTGGTTCTCCAACTGATATCAACTCGTAAAAACTAATTGATCAATTAATTATTAATACATTCTGCATTTCTTCGCTCGTCCCCCCTCCCTTGTGACTTCTGTATCTGTGTGGGTTGATGATGTCATTCATGGCAGTTTTTATTATTATTACTTTTTTCCCCAAATTCTTTCGCATTCCAAGTGGAATATAGGGGGGTTTCAAGCTTCATAGTCAAAGTTTCCACTACCATTTGTCTTATTTTTACTGAGTAAGGTTGCTAGTCTCACGTCCTACTGTGGTGTGTGCTACTGATAAGATTTATCAGTAGTATATGTGTGAAGAGACGTTAATAGGCCGGCATAAAACATCCCATAACAGGAAGATATATAGATTTGACGTCAGAGGAAGCAAATTATATACAGCGTTGCGCGGAGATACATGGGAGAGGTGCATCGGTTGGGGATCGCACTCTGAACCGCATAGATGGTTGGTGAGCATTCTACTGTCGCACCACCGACTAAGCTGTCGTCGATGAAAAGTTGTTCATGGTTAGTAGTAGTTGTCAATATTGAGAAGAGTATATGTCGTTTAATTGAATTTTAGATTTTCCCATCGGTTGATTGGACCGAAGTGCTCGGTCTCTCAGGTTGACACTCACTGGGGGAATGCAGGTACATCCAGTAGCTGATGAGTTCCAAATAGGACGAAATGCGCGCTATCCTGGATTCCTCTGCTAGTCACCATCTACCAACTAATTAACTTTTAATTACATTCCCAGACACCGCCGAAGCACCTGCACAAGAAGACGACAGACATGTCAACCTGAGACCGAGCACTTCGGTCCAATCAATCGACAGAAAAATCTAAAATTCAATTGAATAATTAATATGACCCGTTGCACAAGAGGTGGTTGAATCACGTTGCCCAAGTGGTCCAGCGGATAACGCTTTGGCGTTGGAAACTATGGGCACTGGGTTCGAGCCTCGGTGGGAACACCATCACTCACTCACTGACGAGCCCCCAATAGGACGAAATTCGCGTTATCCTGGTGGATTCCACTGCTATTCACCATCCGCCAATTAGAGTATATGTTAGTATGATTTAAGCGCGCCTATATATGATTTTCAATTTTGTGGTTTTACTCTCTTCTATGTTTGTTTGGTTGTTTTTTTCGTTTAGGGTCTTGTCACAGGTATTCGAGGTCTTTGCGGTGGACTTGGTCCAGCATTATTTGGTTTATTCTTTTATATATTCAGGGTAAGTTGCTGAATTTGTTTTATTTTGTTTATTTTTTTCTTCTGATAATTATTCATTATTTTCAAGTATTGATTTTTGTAAGGATTTTGTTTGATTGGTTGGAGGATTTCATCATGAGCTGACATCAGTTAGAGAAGGAACCATTGGAAAACCAGGCAGGGAGTACTGGACAACAAGCTGTTTCGTTAGCCTAGTTTTGGACTCTTCATCAGTACGCACTCACCGCAGGGGGTTCGGACCCAGGACCTTCTGGTTGCAAGGTTGGTGAGCTCGTGGATCGTTAAGCCAATGGGACCTGATCCAATGGCCCATGAATTATTATTATTATTATCAATTCCTTGCCCCACGAGGGAAACAAAAGGTTTCAGTTGTACTGATTCATTCTACTTGGTTCTCTGTCATTATTTTCAACTGGCTAACTCTACAACTTCCCAGAAGACGTCATTATGTCTCCACATGATCTCCTCCTTGTCAGACGTATGACTTGTCGATTTTCTTTGCAGTTTCTGCTCGATAATCTGGTGTGTAACGTGTCTACTTGAATGGTATTCTCAATGTTATATTCCAAGCCATTTTGATTTTTCCTTTTGCATATTTGTGTTGGTCGACTGTGCATTGTTAATGAGTTCAGTGTCAAACTTCTTTGATACTTAAGCCACTTAAGGCCACTTGGCAATCTGATTTTCATTAACAGTGACTTAGTTATTCAAAGCAACTATTGATGAAAGTCTCTGTAGTATGCCTTGTTTGAAAAGATTTCGGTAACGCCTGCACTAAGTCTTTGAATCATAAAGAAGAACAGTGATTAACTTGACAATCCGGCCTTTTTTCAAGAGTTTATTTGTATGGACTGGATTTGTTACAAGTTCTATCACGGTTTGATAACTCAGTTGGAGAACTACTGAAAACAAGGGAGTCTGTGACCCACTTTAAATTGAATAAACTGAAATTCGATAATTCACCTCTATCTCTCTCTTTTTTTCTCTCTCTCCCTAAACATTACAAATTCGCCTAGAATTCGAGTGACTTGGACCGGCCCGTGGGGTGATACACCAATGGTGAACATGTCAGTCGAACGAGTGAAACAGACGTCGTCCAGTAGGTGTTCAGATCTTTTTGATCTAACTAGCGCCAAACAGTGTCATAGGTTAGTGAGAGTGCTTACTTCCCATTATGCAATGAGGTTTTAAAAAGAAATTCGAATCCCACTCCGCCTACTTCAAATAGGACTTAGAGAATACATGTGGATCTGTGGCTGATCGATTGATTGATTTAGACACTCAAACTCCTACCATTGGATCATAACTTAGAATCCCGTTAGACGTACTAAGGTTTGGGCAACCAAGTGATATCAATATCCCCGCCCCGCCCCAGGTCCACACAATAAGATTTGACTCATTGCTGACTGCATGAGATTACGATCAGTTAATGAGCAGAAGCATTTTGTTTGTTTTCCCTACAATACATAACTACAAAAACATAACACCATCTTGAAGGACATAATCCAACCAACCAATCAACAAAAAGCTTCCCTAATGACTACAACCTACCCCATAGATGATACAAGTTGGAGCAAAGTAGCTTAAAAAGTGTATAATACACATGCGTAATTCCTTAAACGTCGTAAAACACTGGCCACACACACACAAACATTCTAGGGAAGCATAACAATAGCCCAATTTATTTTAAGTTTGATCCCGGATTGATAACTCAGTTAGAGAACCACTGAGAACAGAAGAGTAGTACTGGACAGCGCGGTGAACCCCACTAGTCATGACTTCTCACTAAAACTTCAAGAAACTTTGTCCTCTAGTCACCAGTCACTAGTGAGCGTCGGACTAATTTTTCAAAAGTTAGTTTGTAAGGATGCTCACTAGTGACTAACTGTATTAAGAAGTTGCCTGGAGGTTCATCCGATTGGAAGTAAGGACAAATACCCGCCGCCAATGACATTGGCTGGTACCAGTCGCGCTAAAATATCATGAATTGGTAGAAGTTAGAATTCATGAGCTAGGTAATTGAGTCGTGTCAAAGTGGCTGAATGTTCAGCGAACTTTCCTTGTACACGGAAGGTCATCGGTTCGAACCCTAACGATGGGCGCGTACTTCCAATGAGTCCCAAACTAGGTTGACGAAACAGCTGCCCGGTACTACTTCTCTGTTCTCAGTGGTTCTCCAACTGAGTTATCAATCCGGAATCAAACTTAAAATAAATTGGACTACTATTATACTCCCCTGGAATGTTTGAATGTGTGTGTGTGTGGCCGGTGTTTTACGACGTCTAAGGAATTATGCATGTGTATTATACACTTTTTAAGCTACTTTACTCCAACTTGTATCATCTATGGGGTAGGTTGTGATCATTAATGAAGCTTTTTGTTGATTGGTTGGTTGGATTATGTCCTTCAAGATGGTGTTATGTTTTTGTAGTTATGTATTCTTGCGGGAAACAAACAAAATACTGCTGCTCATTAACTGCTTGCAATCTCATGTAGTTAGCAGTGAGCCAAATCTTCGTGTGTGTGTTTGTGTGAATGCGGGGGGCGGGGCGGGGATATTGTATCACTTGGTTGCCCAAACTTTAGTACGTCTAACGAGATTCTAAGTTATGATCCAACGGTAGGAGGTTGAGTGTCTAAATCAATCAATCAATCAATCGATCAACCACAGATCCACATGTATTCTCTAAGTCCTTTTCAAAACTTATTGCATAATGGGGAGCAAGCAGTTCCACTAACCTGTGACACTTTGGCTAGTTAGATCAAAGTGATCTGAACAACTGGACAACGTCTGTTTCACTCGTTCACCATTGGTATATCACCCCACAGGCCGGTCGAGGTCACTCGAATTCTAGGCGAATTTGTAATGTTTAGGGAGATAGAGGAAAAGAGAGAGGGAGAGGCGAATTGTCGAATTTCAATTTATTTAATTTAAGGTGGAAATTCACCATGGCTTCTGTTTTTTGAAATTCAAAACAAAAAGGCTTCGAACTGTGTAATCTGCAGGTTTGTCATACTCATAGTTGGCGCTATATGATTTTCTCTTTTATTGATTTTTAAAAACTCTTGTCTTTATGTTTGTTTTATTGATTGTTTACTGAGTATATTATTAAAATTTTCTTTTGATTACACTAAAAGGAGGTGTGTGTGTGTGTGTGTGTAGAACAATCACCAGCATCTTATACGATGGTGGCATAGTTCACTGGCTGAATGCTCCGGATTTGTTCCCCAGCTGAATTATTCGAAACTGCTTATCTTGATCATGTGAATGTAGCTAGCCATTACCCCACCTCATCCGTTATAAAACCTACCAGAAACGTCAAGTCTCAAGCCTGACGCCCTATATTTCACTGTGAACGCAAGAAACACTAATAAGTATACAGGCATGGTTAATTGTCCAGTCACTCATATGAGATTTTTTTTCCTTCACGTTCCCCAGTGGAACATAGGGTTTCAAGCTAGTGGTTTGAAGTTTCTGAAGCAGTGTTTATCTTTACGGGATACCCAACTTTCCCTCCTTACCAGCATTATTTCTGGCTTAGTGAGGTAAAGGAGTGCGTCCAGTAGCCAGGGATCGAACCCCGGACCATGCGCATGGTCGGCGAGCGTCCTAACCGCTATGCCACCGACGCACTCATATGAGATATATGCCACATTTATGCAACTATGTTGTTTTGGGGTTAGTGATCCTACTAACTACTACTCAGTCGCTTATTTTTCCTGGTCAACCTGTAGGTGATCTCAATAATTTGAATTTTCAAAGGAAAATGGCATGAAGTCTCATCTTCAGCTGTGTAGAGATTGCGAATTAGTTGGAAATTTACAAATTTTATTTCACATTCCCATATGTGTAAAACTTGGGCACTGGCAGGATATATTCGTTTGTTTATTAGATATACCACACAGTGAGTAAAACAGCTTATTTACTGGATGACGTTTCGAACAAAATTTATTGTTCATAATCATATCAATTATAATCACACGACTTCGAAACTTGAGTTTTATAGTTTTCTTTGTTCTCTCCTATTTGTCGTCGTTGGCGTGGCTTTTGTAGAATTTCCCAGATGTCCGGGTGGTGGGACAGCTGTTGAATCATTCCTATTGCAGACACGCATTTTCAGTGGATTCGATAAATGTCTGCCTCTTATTAGGATCAACTAATCAAGATTTTGCTAGGTTTTTGTGCTCCGTTAGTTTGACTAACTGACTCCATCATTGTACTACTTTGACCTGAAAATCATCCCAGCAGGGTGTTAGATGAACTAAGTTGTTTTGTTTCTTTTATTGGCTCCATAGCAGGATCCTTTAGTAACAACAGAAGACAAGGGCCAGGCAACAGATCGTTTATTAAGGAAAATCAACACATATTTATAGGTTTTAATGTACATTATTGTAGATTATTGTTAGTAGAAAATACAGTCTGTTGATTGGTTGTTTCTCACAGAAAGTTAACCTTGCATCTCTTGTGGCTGTGTCAGTTCATCTATATGCTAACTGTATCTGCCTACGCAAAGCCTTTGTTCTCATTTTCTCACCACAAATATTTGGGGCATAAACATTGACTTCAATTACTGTCTACCAACTTTAGCTAGCAGTCAGCTCTCACCACACTTTAACCGAAAAAGCTTCTTTCAAACTGAGTTTGTGGGCAGCCTGAATGACCCTTTTTACTCCTTCCTGCATTGTTAAGAATTCTCTGTAAGTTTTGCTTTGTTCCTTCTTTGTATGGAAGTACTACTGATGATGATTTAAATTCCTTATTGTTGGTGTTGTCATCATTCTGTGCACAAAATCCTAGTTGACTCTACAGTGAGATAAGAAGTCTGGAGAATAGTTCAGCTATGAAGGAAGCACTGCATGCGATTACATACAAGACAATCATTTAGTAGGATGGGATAAGATGACAGTTTCAAAATCTAATAAAACAGGGTGAGTGGATATGAGAAGGAGATACATAACGGAAGTCTTATTTATCGAATCAGTTGGAAAAAATGCGTGCAT